TGTGTCCTCCGTTAACCTGGAACTCAAAAATTTCAAATCCATTCCCCAGCTATGCGTGGTTATCGCATACGACCCCGTGAGAGTTCTTGGCGCGAAAACCGCTAACCTGTGGAGCCAGAGAAACTGGGAGGCTGAAATTTTAAGGGGTTGCTCCCAGCCTTCGTAAAGGCTAAAAATATCAAGTTCCTCCAGGTGTGCATGGTTCTCATGTACGGCCCTGTGAAAATTTTTAGCGGGAAGAATTGCTAACTCGGGACCCAGAGAAGCTGGGAGGCTAAAATTTCAAGAGAATGTTCCAAGCACAAGTGCGACTTAAATTTATCAAGCTTAGCTTCTCGGTGTGCGTTGTTCTCACCTACGGCCCTGTGAAAATTTTTGGCGAGAAGAATTGCTAACTCGATGACCAGGAAAGCTGGGAAGCTGAAATTTTAAGAGGATGTTCCCTGTCCAACTACCGCATAGACAATTAACTTCTCGAACTTCAAGAAACTGTATGTCACACATTTGTAGCTACTCGGTTTCTGAGCGATCTCATTACAGAACGAAGTGCTACAAAAACGCATGATCGCACGGGCCCGCCCGGTGCATGTCGCCAATGATTTTCTTATCAGCTTCATTTTCTTGCACACATTCGCTGTCGGTGGAGCTTTGCACCCTAAGCGGAGAGATTTGTTTACAACTGCGTCTTCGGGTTTTGAGCAGCCTAAATGAAGGCTTGGAATTGAAAATAAATAAGGTCCTTTAGAAAATACGCATGGTGTGAGCATATACTCCCGAAGTTCCAGCTTTCTAGTTTTTCTAGTTCTTGAGTTGAAAGTGAATGAGAAAAATTGCAAACACACACACACACAAACAGCCTCTTGCCAACATGCGTTTTTGTATTTGTACATATGCAAAAACGCATAAAAAGTGGGTTTCGCATGCAGATGACGGTAAAATCGAAGGTAGTTGTGGCTCACTGGAAGAAGCTTACACGTCAGTCTCAGTGCAAGAATTTAGACCGAAGTTCTAATAAGCTGGAACCTAACAGGGATATTATGCACAAAGAACATTTTAGATTGTGTACTGTTGTTCATTTCGCGCGAGTAACCTCCGTAGATACACTCGACTCTTATATTTGCATACCTTCCAGTTGGTCAATACAGTGTTAATCATTGGCGATGCGCACCGGGCGGGCGCGTGCGATCATGCGTTTTTGCAGTATATCGTGCTGTAATGAGATCGCTTGGAAACCTGGTAGCTAGGATTTGTGACATACTGGTCCTCGAAGTTCGGAAGTTAATTGTCTACATAGTACTTGGACAAGGAATATTCCATTAAAATTTCAGCTTTCCAGCTTTTCTTGTTCTTGAGTTAACAATTTTCCTGTCAAAAAATTTCATGGGTCTGTACTTGAGAACCGCACATATGTGGAAGCTGAATTTAACGTCTTTAACTTTTACGGGGGCTGGGAACATACCCTGAAAATTTCAGCCTCCGACCTTTCCTAGTTCCCGAGTTAGTCATTTTCCCGCCAAAAAATTTCACTGGGCCATACTTGATAACTACGCATTCCTGGGGGGCTGAATTTGATGAATTTATGTTGTACATGTGCTAGGAACATTGCCTGAAAATTTCAGCCTCTCAGCTTCCCTGGTTCCCAAGTTATCGATTTTCGCGCCAGGAATCCTTACGGGGCCGAGTGCGGTAACCGCGCATACCTGGGGGCTGAATTTGAAATCTTTAAGTTCCATGTGGATGGGAGACATAACCCCAAAATTTCAGTTTTCTTGCTTCGCTAGTTCTCAGTTAGCGATTTTCCCGCCGAAACTTTCACCCTCTCGTACGCGGGGCACAGACTTGCGTGAGAGTTGATGCCGTAGTCCTGGAGTGACACTTGGCCGGGGAACCCGTAAGCAAAATTCTGGCGCCGGAGCTTGCTTGGGTGCCGAGTTGAAATACCGGGTCAGACGCCCACATACACACACACACACACGCACAGACACACGCGAACACGCCACAGGTCGTCACAATATGCGTTTTTGCAATTTGCATATAAACAAGAACTCATAATTACCGTTGCTT